TGGAAATATTCCACAACTTTCTCATGTACAGCTTACAAAAATTGCACTCTGAGATGAAAGAATGAACTTACAATTTGAAATTTTTTAAAGTTAGAGTGCTAACGGCTTTGAATTTTAAGCTCTTACTGTACAAAAGATTGATGCGCCGTCTAAATTACCAAAAATCTGGACAACACCTCAAAGAAAAGATTCATACTTCTTCAAAGTATTCAGGAATCTTTCAAATATCATATCTTTGGGAAATAAAAGATCCCCAGCCATTTCTTTGGAATGAGCTTCAGATTGAAAATGATATAAAGTTCAATTGTTTCCGTTCCAAAAATTATCTTGTGCTTCCTTCAAAAAAATCATCCAGTTCACATATATGTTTCATACATTTACGATTCCAATAAGCCCTCTATCTTACTCCCAAAATTAGCCAACAGCTTTCAGTTTTACCATTTTAAATGCTGATCCCTACATTTCCCAACGGCACTTACAGCTCTCGGGTGCGATTACGCGAATCGTGTGTCAATTGCCAATGCAAACATATACACTCTCTTTCTGACATGGTTCCCGTATTATTGGCGCTCATTGACAATACCTATCCAATTTCCGGGTGCGTTATCTGACAAGGAGCGTTCGAATGTCCTTTAATTCCTTTTTGGGTGTAGTCACCCGCGGTTGCAAGATGCTAATATTAGACATTCTGCGTTGCGTGTAGGAGAGGCTCAAAAAGAATTACTAGCTTAGACTTGGAAAAACTTTCGGCGAAAAAAAGAGGGCTATTTATTTCTTGTGGTTTATTTTAGCCTCTTGAGTGTATCCCTAGGGAGTTTTCTGAGGGAGAAGATGACTAATCCCTCCTTGCGTGACTGACCTTACGTACATCGTGCGTTTTTGTGCGGCACATATTACGAGCGAACGGAGGAGATCATAATATATGAACGGGACCACCAAAGAAAGAGACTTTACAAAGATACCGACCAGCTCTTTACGACCTGCACGCATGACATATGATTCGGTAGTTACGATTCACACCATGCAATGGTTCACTATGAGGGTGGAGGGTTAGTTAGAGGATTTGTAGGGGAGCTGACATACGAATGTTTAGACCTTATATACCCTGTTTGTCCCTTTTTCAATTATATTTTCAAGAAAAGCGAGAATTGGAAGGGAGGAGAAGAGAGGTTTTTTTGGAAATTTAGTTTCAGGAGAAGTTAGAGGTTTTTTTTTTATTTTGCGCTGTCCTAAACAATCTCCTATCATCCTTTAATGAAAGCTAGTAGAACTACCTACATTGTCACAATAATTTACACATAACATCTTTTGGCTTAATTCTTAAAAGATTTTCACCCGGTTTCTAACAAAAGTTTCTTCTTCTGGTACAAATTCACATAAAACTTATTGGGCAACTGTTCGTAAACTTATTAACTGTTTGATAATACCGTAAATGTCTTTTGCAAGGATAGACTTCATGCGGATCCTTTATTATGACGGGTAAAGGTATGAGCTTTTTTACCGTACCGAGAAAGAGCAAATAAAAGAACTCCATGTGCTTAAGCTTA